GTGTGCGGCGCGCCCAGCCAGGGGGCCAGCGCCGCTTCCGGACCCCGCGCCCGCGCCGCCGCCAGTCGCCGCACCCGCGCCGCCCACGCCTGCCGCCGTTGCCGACACCGGCGCGCCGGGGACAGGGCCTGCCGTCGCCGCGCCCGCCTCCACCGCCGTGCGCCGAAGCTCCAACGGGGGGCTGCTGGAGCCACGCGCCGCCACCTCCTCCGCGTCGCCGTCCGCCTTCAGCTCCATCCCGGGCAGCATCGGCGAACGCACTGCAACAAAGACACTGGTCAACACGAACACCTCTCACACTAACAGTGCGTTTCAAATTGAAGTAATGAACGTGCTGCTTAAAAGGAAGGTCGATGTAAGAAAATAATTGGAAGCCATCTATTAGCATAGCCTGAAGAATTTTCCATACCTCACTGCACGGATAACGTATTTTAGAAGATTGGCATCCAGACAAAATTAGACGCTTACAATAGACTTGCTTTCTAGAACCTCGGGACCCTGATTTCAAACAAGAGCCCCCCCTATATGAACATATTTATTACTTCATGCACCTCTTATAACCTCTAAAGATTGATTTGAATTAGAAGTGAATACAATTGTTTTGGCTCGTAACAATCGCTGCCAACACAAAAGCGAGTTGTGCGTGCAAAATAATGGTGAGTAAGAAATTGCTACGTCTGAAAAATTGCTGGTCGCATTTTCGAACCAAATTATCTAAATGTACGTACAATTTGCTCATTTCTTCTCAATTCACACACTTTTGGCAAAGTCCTTTCATTCAACTCACCCACGGCTATGATCTGCAAAAAGCACCGTCACCCTCTTTCCGTCGCGTCAGTGTCCCGCGTGGCGCACCAAAGGGAGTGAAAGGGTTTACGAAAAGAAAGGGAACGGAAAGGAAAGGGAGAAAATGGCGGCGTTGCCACATGAAGCAAACGCTTAGAATAGACTTTCTTGCAATACTACCTCTGGAAAGTCGGGCCTTAACCCAATTACCCACATTCCATTTCCCCACAACACATGGCGAGTTTAGTACTGCAAGCTTTCGTGTTATCGACAGTGACCTACGTAGCCCATAGAAAAGGCTTTGGGCGCTGACAGAAACGAAAAATGTAAATTATAAAGCAAAATAAAACTTTGTAGAAAGGCTGAGGTGCAGATACACTTACAAACTTAATATATTTAGATTCTTATTTTGCGCGTATTTTGCGAACACATTTTAATACCTGAATTGCTAAAAATAAAAACATTGCATTAGCATTGTATGTATGTATCTTGATATATGAATAAAAATCAACGTTTTCGAAAATATCTCGTTACAGAGGCAATAAAGTTCGCACTCTTTAATCGTATTTCTTCGTTCTGGTCTGCAGACAATGCTGTCATTATCGCACAGACACTTCACATCTCTACGATATGTATTCTTTCCGTCAGCCAGATGAGCTGAACAGCCAGCTAATACAACACCCAAAGAGTAAATTTAGCGGTTGTTCCGACATTGTCAATGGGAATAATATTGAAATAATTGATACGAATCAAAGCGTGTGAGAAGCATTAAGGTTCATTCTCTGATAGAGGAATTATTGCAAATGAAATAATGCACAACAAAGTTGAACAAACGGCAAAGTACGACCGAATATCAATAACCTTACAAAATTCGCTTTTATCACTCTTTCAAACTCGCAAACACTTAATCCAAAAATAATTTTGTAAAAATGCCTTTGAAGAAAAGTTCTGAACTGCATCGATCATGAACTCTAGCAACAAATATTTCTTCATGGAACATTCTTACATTGGCGGAACATTTCGTTCGTCAGAAATAGCAACCAACGATGACCTCCGAAATAATTTAAAATCCGATATCGATGTTTCCTCAACCTCTCGCAGCTGGCTGAAAGCTGAAAATAGTCTTGCTCAACACAGTAGTTCTATCATTTTGTAGTTATCAAGTTTCTCCCCGACACTCCGTAAAGTTAACAGTACGTATTTATTTCAGCCGCATTCCACGGTAAAACAAACGCACGAAAGATAATCAGTTCCAATGTACTGAGTATTCGACTTCGCACCCGACGGTTCGTTTGCCCCCCCCCTCCCTCCCCTCGCAGAGTGGCGGTGTGGTGGTGTGGTGGTGGGTGATTGTGGTGGTGGTGGTGGTGAACTGTTGGTAATGTGGGTTGGTGATTGGGGTGGTTAATGTGGCGGTGGTTGTGCGGTGGTTGTGCGGGTTGTGGCGGTGGTTGTGGCGGTGGGTTGTGGGGTGGTTGGTGTGTGTGTTTCTTTTGTGGGTGTGGCAGTCACAGTGTACCGATCGAAATTTAAAAATTGGTTGCAATATGTCATTTAACAGACTTCCAATTGCTGGAGTCCACAAAAAAAATTGCCATGGTTTTCTGCTATTAGTAAATTTCTTACTCTGAATACTACCAGTGAATACTGTCATCTGTAAAAGACTTCTTTAGTTATGAAATGTTAAAAAAATTTCTAGCAAAACTGCATAGAAATAATTCACACTATAGACAATACAGAGAAAAATACATGCTTTATTAGGTAGCAAACTGACCATTTTTAGCTTGTCACTATTCTTGTACATCAACCTTTCCTTTTCCCGCCACCTGCAATTTCAAAACAATTCATCTGCAAACTACTCAGAGTTTATAAATCGACGAAGAGGCTTTAATCATACCAGCCACTTAATCTCCTGCAATGGTGACAAACGGGGTTTGTGAGACGGGCGAAAACAAGTACACAGAGGTAGATACAACTAGAGTGGGCTCGAGCCCACGGCAGTTTCAACATGCGGTGGTTCAAAGTCACACAACTTAGGGACACCTGCACTCATATTGTGTGTAGCTATGCATGCTGTTTGTTATTTCTACTCCTACAGCGCAATTATTTTGGAACTTTACAAATATTTTCTTATTGCTAATGATCCACATGTGTTTGAGAATTTTTAAATCATTTTACACAGAACCATGGTTCAGGGTTGTTTTGGCTGCAACGAGAACTACAAGAAAGGATGAGAAGTGACATTTCATAGGTAAGTTACTAATTTGTATTAATATTTTGTGAAACCTTTTTAAACGAAACCTTTTAAAATCAAAGATGTAGATGCTAATGATTCACGCATTTTCGGATTAGCATGGATGATTATTTTGCATACTAGTAGTTTTCTTAATGATGAAGCAAGAAAAAGTGTGGGTGCAAAACTTAGGAGAGAGAATTTTACTCCTACAAAATTTTCAAAAGTCTGTTCCAAACATTTTGAAGAAAATTGGTTTGTTAGGGAAATGTTTGGCCAAAAGCTGATACAGAACCCAGAATATTATATTTTCCTGAACACTTGATTGATCAAACTAATAGAAAAAATCTCCTGTAAAAAGAATAACAGATGTTGGAATGTTTATAGACATCTTGAAATATTTTTTGAATAGTATTGTAAGAAAAAATGTGAAATATATTATAATCTGATACATTAGTCTGCTGTTGATTTAGCAACACAATCTTCACCTATACTTTTTGCAGATTAGTTGCACTGAGAAATAAGTGCAAATCATGAAAGCACATCATCAAATGAAAGGATTTCTGCAAGCAGAAAGCGTCCTTTGAGGTGTGTGCAACTTAACTAATATTTTCTCAACAATAGGATTCCCTACAAAACAAAGAAATAATCTCTTAACTGAGTTTCTTGATGTAAATTATTCCAAAGTAGTCCATCAAAGGTAAGATTGTTAGTATGATGTGTAATTTCAAATATTCTTTTGTGCAATATCCATTGAACTTTCATTAACATTCTATAATTGTGTTGATTATGTTCAAATTTTTGTTCATTTGTTTATTTCAAAGCTATATCGGTGATTTTGTTAATGAAGATTCGGACTCTCCATTGAAAGTCAGACAAATATTAAAGATAGCTTGTAAACAAATCTGAACAGAAAAACTAGATTGAGCAGTTCGAACGGAATATTTCATCATTAGGGAACCTTTTAGCAATTTAACATACATTATTGGCCAGGAGGCTATAATGAATCATAGGACGTATTTAATCAAGTAAATATTATTTAAATATATTTAAATGAGGTTAAATATATTGAAAGAGAAGAAACCTAACTTTCCCAAAAAATTGTATTAGGTCAATAAATAATAATCTTATTTTATTTAAAGAGTAGTAATCCTACTTTATTCACTGGTGATGTGAGTGGTGTTTGCAAATAAAATTGTACTTCATGAGTTTTATTAATAAATTATTTGAAAAGTAAAATTTCCACTACAAATCCTTGAAAATGCATTCTCATAACTTTATGTCTATAAATGTGTGGCTGATTTGGATAATCAATAACAGATTGTCTAGAACAACAGTAATAATGGAAACTTTGATTAATGATTCCCATGGAGTTTTTACTTAACAAATAAGAATATTCTTTATTTGTAGTCCTATGTAATTGTCCTTGTAAAACAGGTTTAGTTGAATGCACAGTTTAGCATGACAAGATGGATAAATATCTGAATTATCATACAGTACTAGCAAAAAGAGTAGAATTCACTTTTCTGCTGAAAGGGACATTTTTTGGGTTGTTTAGTTAATGATTAAAAAACGCTAGAATGAAACATGATAGATACTTCTCAAAAGAAATACAGTGTTCTTGTAGATGTCGCCTAGCTGTCCCCCCAAGTCACGTGACACGGGCGCGAAAGATGTAGATATTATCCCCGCAAGTTTTCTTGAGCCCTCGCTTCGCTAGATGCGAAAAGAGTGGGGAGTTTGGTTATTTTGACAAGAGGAATTTTACGTCGAATTTGTAGTTCATTTTCCAAGTAAAATAGTTTTTAATGCACGGGGGCGAGCATTCCCTGTCACCAGATTTTGTCCACAACTCTCATTACTATCATTTATTTTTAATGCAACTAATATTGGGAAAGGAGTGGGGGTAGATGTTCCGGGGCTCAAGAAAACGTGCGGATATAATACCGGCCCGGGTGTTCTGCGCACTCTAGTGTATTTGTGCTCTATGGTCGAACACGACGCAAATGGCAATGCAACGCGGCCTCGTGATTATCCCAGATTCCCTTCAAATACTGAGCGGACGCGGACGCGGACGCAAATGTTTGTTCGTGAGAATGCGGCTGTGATTGCATAGGTACCTAGAGTCACCGTTGAGCCAAAGCGGCCGGCGCGAACGACAGCTTGGGCCCACGCCATTTTCTTGCCAGGCGCCTGCATCGGGGAGAGAGGAGACCGGTAACCAGCTAGCGCTCTTCTCGGCCTCTCGGTCGCACTGACCCTTGCTGTTTTCGGTGTGTGTGTGTGGGGGGGGGGGGGGGGGGGGAGGCGCTCTGTCACGTTGGCCCCTCGTCCCGGCGCCGCGCCCCCATGGGCCGCCCTGGCGACGCCCCGCGCGCCGAGACCCACCGCCTCGTTCATTTCTTCTGCGATTGACTTCTTGGCTCACCACGCGCACCGACATACGCCTCATCAATTTCCTTCCCCTTCATAAATTTATAGAATGTTTCGTCACGTAAGAAAGATTTTTCAGTTAAAAATTGGTGAAAGAATTTTGCATAGCCTGAAGCACCTTAGCGAATAATACTTTTGAGCCTCTATACGCAGTTCGAGCTGCACATTAGTAGGTCTTTCACGCTATGAATTAACAGAGACAAAAAGTGTCCAGGCGATGCAAATAGTTCCAGCAAACTAAAATAATTTTTTTTTTTATTAGAAAATGTCTTTTTTTAAATACAAAATAGCACGATTTCATTAAAATTTAATACCCATCACATTATTTACAAATTCAAATTTACGTTTCAGATTTCATTAAGAAAAATATTATCTTATGTGGAGTATGAGAAAGTGAAACAAAAAATTTAACTGTTACTGATATTATTAAATTCTTGATAAAAACACTTATTTCGTTCAATGATTTCCCACGTTTCCTATCGGTTGATTCGGAACAAATCTCCTTTCTTCACTGCACAGCAATTTGGATAGAGGAAAAGCAGATTTAGACGAAACGGACGCTATGGACATCAATAATCTACCAGTAAATGTCGAATCGAAGTCCCTGCTCATCACATTTATCGGTTAGTTCACGACATGCATACCATGATTTTGTTAACGAGACGCGTCCAGTTCGAATATTTTGATCAAGCGCTAGAACAGATGTTATCTGTAACAGGAAGCTGGCGTTTTCGCGTCAGTCGATGTATGACTAAAATGTGTCACCAATTAGTCAGGCAATAAACATTTAATTCCATCGTTTTCTATCGTGGATAACAGCCATGTTCAATTATCTGCTGTAATAGAAAAATTTCGATCGAAGTCACGAACGAAAAAATTCAGAACCCCATCATCGACGGGGGGCCCTCAGCCCTCTTGATCCACATCAGCGATTCCGCTTTGCTTCTGAACGCTCAATGCAAGTTTCCTCCAGGACAAAAGTCACTAGTTTTTACTCCAGTTGACGATCAATTACTTATTTCAAAGAATAGCTGAACAAGACCACACAACATAAGAAGCATGCGTATACATTATGGCGTGACTCACCTGGCGGCAGCGAGTAGGGCGAGATATGTGAGCGCAGGTAGTGCTGGTAGACGTGCGCCGCGTGGGCGGCGTGCGCCGCGTGCGGGTGCACGTAGTGCGGGGGCCGCGCAGGTCGTTGGCGCAGCGCTGTGCGGCCGCCCGGCCGCCGCTGCCGCCGCCGCCGCCGCCGCGCGTGCGCGCCGTGCGCCCCGTGCCCGCCGTGCGCCGCCGCCGCCACCGCCGCCGCCGCAGACTGGAAGCCCATGTGGCCGTGCACCACGTCGCCGCCCTGCGGGACCCCACACACATGCACTCAACCATTGCCCTTCTCCGTCTCCACACCACTTGAAGGAAGTCGAAATAATGGTCTTATACATGGCGAAATTTTAACAACGCATATCTCAAAATTGGGCAGTTTTCAGATAATGTTACCCCAAAGAGAAACTTGCCGAATTCTTGAATTCTTATACAAGCACATCACAAATTAATTGGAAAATTGTTAAAATTATGGAAATTGGAGACAATTTTGTTAGCTTGTAAAGGAAACTTGGCAGTATTTTTCTCTCTCCGGAAAACTCAATTTTTTAGACATGCGTTGTCAAAATTTAGTCGTACATACATACATCTCATCCAATATAATCCTCATGCTAATGTAGTCATTTTTTCATTCCCAGCTAACAATTTAAAACTATTTCAAAAACGTTTATTACAGGGCCGATCTGGAATCGTCCCCCCACCCTTCCGAAACACTTTCTGGATAAGAACCTCACCCGCACGAGAAAAATCCTTTATGAAAATACGAAACGTGAAGTTGGTAGTCATTAAAAATGAGTAGTGAGGAACGAATGGTACTCAAGTATCTGTGATATTACACAGACGCACGTTTTAAAACGCAATTCCTACTGACTCCGGCTGTTTTAATTAATATGCTCATATTAGTTCAACTATGCCCACACCCGACGCTTACAGACCTGAGGTCCCTACAGACAGACCTGAGGTCTGTCATTTTACTTTCTCGCCCTTCCTTCGTAATAGAAAGTATTGTTATGCACCACAAAAGAGAATTTTCAACTGAAAAACCCTAGTACAGGGCCCTTGTAAAGAAAAATTAGATAAATCTCGTTCTTGTTTATAGTAAATTACTTTCTCTAAGACGCTGTGAAGTTAGAAAACATGTTTTCTGGTTTCTGGATACCGCAAAATCGATTGACTCCAAAATTGTCTGTGTGTATATCTGTTAGTGCGTGTGTGTCTGTATGTATGTATCTGTGTGTGTGGGTATATTTGCCTGCCAAGCTATCTATCCGTGTATCCGATCTTGTCTAAGGTCATGTGCAATTTTCCAAAATATAAGCGCGATTTTCACGTAATTTTGTGTGAAATAGGTAGTTTTTAAACAATTTGCTTCTTAAAATCGGCTCCATATTCGGCGAAATTTCAGTGCATTTGAAAATTGCAAACTGGTTGCAATGCAAAAATACCAATTTGAATATAGCTGGATAGGATATTCTATAATAGAACTGGATAATATAATATATAATAGAACTGGATAATATAATATATAATAGAACTGGATAATTGTCTTGAACGAAATCCGTTCCAAAAAATCAGATCTTTAAAAAAGACCATGTGCATTTTTTGGGGTAAAAAAAAACAGAAATTTTTGCTTAAACTTAATGCGAATTATTATTATTATAAAAAGGATTTTCTCAAGAAACGGTCAATTTTTTCTCTTTCAGGCATCCACGCATTAAACAAGGGACGGATAAAAGAAAGGCTAGTCTCACTTTCGTTGGTCTCTGAATTACCGAAAATTGTAAATTTAGAAATGAGATAAATAGGTGATATTGTAGTACCTGTACTGTTTTTAACTCCTCGCTACAGCTTACGCAGTAGAGTAATACTTATGTAATGCTGCGGGAAAGGGGCGAATTTTTGGCAAATAAACTCATCCCGAGCCCTGGTAACGAAAGACTGAATGGATCCAGTTGCTAAATTTAGAAAAAATCCTCTAACACGTGCTGTACCCAGAATCCATTTTATGGGTCCTTCACACAGAAAAATCGATTGACGGCAAAGCGTCTGTCCGTCCGTCAACATCGCTAGTGGCTAAACCGTTCAGTAGATATTCTCCAAAAATTGATATTCCCCAATCGATCTGGCTGATGTCGCGGCCTCTTGAATTTCTAACAGATATTTTAATTTTTGGCGTACTTAACATGAATCCCCTGGGACATTTTCAAATTAAAAAATTAGCTCAATTTTTTTTGATTAAATTTTTGGTGTCATGTAGCGTAATAGACGCTTAACAAAAATGTGCGGGTTTCATGTTCGTTGAAAACCCTATTTTCCGAAAATGGCAAAGTTCTTATTTTTTCAGCGGTTTCCTACAACTGAAATATTAAAGATAAAGATTTTTGCACTTGATGAAACCTGTTCCTTAAGAATAGATTTTAAAATAGGGTCGTGTAGAACTTTTCGAAAATTTGAGAAGTTTTCGGGTAATTTTGCAAAAATATAGACTATTTTAAATTTTGTTTTAACATTTTTTTCGGTCCCATCAATTTTAATTACAGGCTGTAGCAGGATAAGGTGAGTAAAATGCCTAGCTTAATTGAATTTAGGAATGGGGGAATAATTAATGCTACTTTGAAAGTCATTCTCCAAAATATTAGAAACGACAGCCTGATTATCTTTTAAGATATGAAAATATATACGAATTTTCGTTTTTTAATGTTTTTTAATCGGAAATAGAATTATGAAAAAATTATGCGACATAGTTGACATCTATAAGTATCTTGGAGAGCTTTTTCAAACAAATTTGGTGGGAAATTCAATTTTTAAAATATTATTAATTTCGGTATTTTTCTGTTTTACATTTGGGATGACGACTCCCAAAACATTGCTACAAATAGATATTAAGGTGTTCTTTACTATTGATTTTTTTCACACTTCGCTAATTGGAGCGTCATATTGAAAAAAAAAAAATTGTCGTTTATACGTATATAACTCATAATAAATATAAATATCACTTTTCTACGGAAAAATACTTTTTCTGGATGAGAATCATATTTTACCATACACAAATATTGCGGATTGTTTTTGGTTCGTTAAAAATTCTGATTTTTTTCAAAATGAACGAAATAGTTGGATGTTACGTAAGTTAGAATACTAAGAATATTATTTCATATTTATTTGTTAATTTCTTTACATTCGAGAGTTTGGTATGCGTTTCCAATTAATCTTTACGAAATTATTTAAAACCTCTTTGATTAATTATTTAAAACCATCCATATTTTTGTCCGTGTTATAAGGAATGTATTTTCTTTCAAGCATTCCGCAAACCTTACTTGAAATTAGCTCAGTTAGGTTGCCTCTCTTAAAAATATGTTTTTAATGTAATATGAAAGAAAAATTGCAAGACGCAAAATGTACCCTTAAGGAGCGTTGGGCGCACAGTTAGTTTCAGTTGATGTAATCTCCATTGTACTATTAAATTGGCGGAAACCTCCATTATTAAGACAAGTCATGTTAGTCGCAGTCAAGTCAAGGAATAACGGATATGTAGCGTCTTTGCGCTAGCGTCTCGCACGCGTGATTCACCAATCGGCCAGAACTGGAAAGTTAAAATGATAGGGATAAGGTTTACGTTAAGCAGGCTAACACATTTTGTAACAAATTTCACGTGAGATTATATGGGAATCGAACCCGGAACCTCAGTGGTGAAAGGAAAGCGACTTAGCCACTAAGCCATGAGAGTACTAACGGGCTTTAGTACTGTTATTTATTTAAGACATCGCGCAGCAGTAATTTGTATTCTCAACCCAAAATTTCATTCGATACCCGTGCTGTCGGACTGGCTTCCCACAACGACCTCACAAACCTTCCACAGCCTGGTGGTGCCTAAGAAAATCACATTTCAAACATTGTAATCTTGTAGGATAGCGGGTTTAATGTGAGAGGAGCTGTTAATTTGTCGAGCAAGGCAAAATGTTCTACTATTTATATCAGCTGCATGGTGGAATTTTAACTAGTCAAACATACTGCTTTCTTTAATTTATTGTTAAATAATTATTTTTTTTAGACGAGCTACATAACTTGGGCACAGCAGGCATATCATATCCTCCACTATTTTAGAATGTGAAAAAGCAAAAACCAGCTGCTTTTGAAAGTGCAATTCCCTCGAATTTGTTACACATTCAATGTGACGGCGACCCTATAATACAAGTAACTACTACGAATACAAAAAACTTAAATTTGGCGATGTATTGTCCTTTGAAACGTTTGGAAACATTAGTCATATTTATTGAAAAATATATTGGGAATCTAAATTGTTTAAGTTCTGTTGCCTTCAAATTCTGTCTTCTTCTAAACTATTTTATATCTTGTCCACACATCCCAACATTTAAAAGAATAATCTTTCGAAATAATAATCAAATTATAATAATTCAAAATAAATTTTACAACCCTTTTCTATTCTACTTATATGGTGAATATTTATTGTTAGGACTCACAGGTAAACGAAACAAAATGAGGAAACAATATTTTATGTAACTAAAATATACAATATCCCAGCAATTCTTCTACACAAATCTAGACTATTTTATACTTATCTTACACAATATTCACTCACAATTACCTTTCTATTGAATATCAATACATTTCTTCACACAACTCTAAGAGAATGCACAATTTTGTTGCCCTATTTTCATGCATCTACTCTTTCAACAGATATCAAAGATATCTAAAACATGCATTCACTACAGTATTCATTACAAATTAATATTTTATCATGATTGTAAAAAATTGCCAATTCAAAGGTTTTGTTTTATAATTGTCTTCAGACAAAAATATTTTAAATATAAACAGTAATGCAGGTAATTTTGCATTGTGGGAATTGAAATAATGTTAATTCTCTAATATAATAAGGTTCAGGTAACGAAATTAATCAGCTGTATTCTCAACAATCAATAAGAAAAACTTACAGAAATTCAAATAAGGAAAATGTTTTCAAATTAAAGATGTGATTATGCTAATCAATATCCTCTGAAAGGTTCATAATACTACAAATAATGCAACTCAATATTGTGGAACTTATAACTATAAGATCATGAAAATATTATATAAAAAATGAAATAAAACATGTGTTCTTTAGAAAAAAGGGAAAAAAATTATATAAGATTTGCTTGATTATACAAGGTAAAAATATTTTTTTTATAACAGCAAATCTTCTCAATTAGTTTCCAATATAATAACTTCTAAAAATCATAAACTTATTAATTACATAATATCTAGTAATAACAGTACACTAATTAGATACTCATATATTGACTTCACAATAATGCAGTAATTACATAGAACTTGAATAACTAAGCATGTACAAAAAAGCTGAAAACTGTTTCTGCCAAATAAACAAGAAAGAAATAAGTCAAAATGTGCCCCTCACAAGCAGATTTTGTTCAGAACACATGCAAATACTAATCAAACAATGCAATCAAAAATACATCAATTTAAGGGAAAAGGTCACAAAAAGTTTACATGAAAGAAACTAAAAAAGATCAGTATGAGAATGTTGCTGGTACTTCAGGTGTTATATACAAAGTATTCAATTTTTTTCACATGAAGAAAGGTATTTCTAAGTCAAAAAATATCAAGGGAAACACTGAATGTTAAGTTACGACATTGGTGACAAAATTCTATTTCCTAGTAGCTTAACAGGAGTTTTATCCATTAGAAAACATTTCAAAATGCAAACTTGTAAACATAAAAAACGATCAGAAGTAAAATTATGCCTTTATTAAACTTTGATTTCATAAAAGAAACAAATGAAACCTGTGTTATTATTTAACAAAGAATGGTATTTGTAAATGATAAATGTTTTTTATAAACATCTGCTGATCCCCCCTGCCCTAAAACAAGGTTTTTCTAAAGATTAATTGTGAAATATCAGCAAGCAGATTCCACATATTGAAGATAGGCAAAAGGATGAAACATCAACTTGAATTAACAAAGATTTCTTGTGTTGACTCAAGAAATACAGAGAATATCACATGTTGATCAACAGGCTGCTACAAAGTGAACAAAAGAACCTCCTCCTTTCCAATTTATGTTTCATCCTGATGTGCACAAAGTCTCTGCTCCAGCATAAGCAACAAACAATGAGTGAGGGTTCAAAGCAAGCCAATGGGGTTTGGGGGTCAGGGAGCCAGGAACATTGCCGTTACCTGGGCGCCACTGGCACCGTGTTGGTGCGCCGGCGGGGGACTCTGCCGCGGCGCCAGCACAAACTGCGGGTTGGGCAGCAGCTCCGCCACCACCCCCGCCTGGCCATGGGCATGCTGCGCGTGCCCACCGCCCAACGCCCACCGTTAGTTCAAGGCACACACTCTTTCACCATAAGCCTACACTGGTGGCCTTCACATCACAAGAACTCTCACTTGTGGTGGGAGAAGAACAGATCATACCCTTATGTGTACTGATGCAATACATCATTGTGCAATGTAAAACATGCACTGAGTAATCAAACCCTTTTATACACAAGGATATGAAAAAAAACTTCCTCCAAAAATGAATCAATACTTCCATGTTTACTCACAAAATTATGATTGGTGTATGAACATAATCAAATGAAGGTACACAAACAAGGGCAAATATAGTTTCTAATATAAACTGATGACAATTTCTGCCTATCACTTGCTTCTTAAGAAGATACTAAGATTTGGCAAAGATACCTTCACTAAACTCCCAGGAAATTTTCAAACTTAAGATAATCATTCTTGCATTTGAAATCAATGATATATTTATTTACTTTCTGTGTTTTTACGTTGGTCAAAGTAAAGAGAATTTATGCACTTCTACTACCTCTGCCCTGAATTACATAACATTTAGGGTTCAAAAGTCTATTTTATATGCTAATCAATATTAAGAGGTGTTAAGCCCAGTGAATGAAAATTTTCGATTTTAAGTTTTATCGGTTTTGTATTCATTGTATTCTAGATTTTGCATTATGGCCTTTTAAAGAGGTTAAAATGACATTTAACGAGTGTTCCAACACTGACTGCATGCAAGGATGCGATGACAATGGGTGAGAGCTATGCCATTAATTTAATTGCAGTGCAATGAATTTCCTTGCACTGTAAATACTTTAAACTCGTTTTTCTCGAAAGTGATTTTTTTGTTAACACTCGTTAAATGCTCAATTTTCTCAGAAACTATACATCTAGAAACAATGGATTTTAAAACAATGTTGTATTATTATATAAAACCTACTGAGTTTGTGTCCACCTTTTTCTAAAGAAAGATTACATGAACCAACCCTGACACCAGTGTAGACTTAGGAGTGAGTATCACAGGTAACCACACTAAGGAGAACTGAGTATGAGGATTTTAAGGAAACGTGTTACTAAAAATACATTCCAATAACAAGAATTATATTAGTATAGAGAATCAAGTTTTCATTAGTACCACTACCAAAAGAAAGCTAGTCCACCACCCTGACATCACCATCACCACCACTATTGCACATAAAACCCATAAGCACACACTACCATCCCTTTCATCCACCACAATACCTTTAAGCTGGTTTGGAACAGTTCTGAAATATAGCAATACTAACTGAAAAAGCAATGCAATCTTGTGAGATTGTGAATCTTATATTCCTATTACAATATAAACCTGCTATTTATAGTTTATATCAAAAGAAATCAAGAATTTACCTATTTATTTACACTGATTACTCAAATTATTTTTTAAAGAGGAATTACTGGAAACAACTATTGGATGAAAAGTTTCTGAAATCTTCATAACACAAATTCTTATATGTAGGGTCTTTCTCAATCTTACAGAGAATAAGCCCCTTTATGACAATTAGCAGTGAAGCAATACATCATTAACAAATCAGCAAAAATACGCAATTCTCCATTTCATAATCTATCATCAGTTTTTTTTTCTGATTCACTGAATACACAAACCCTCTTTAATTAAGTTCACTTTGAGAACTCAGAGAACACCTGATCAGACACAACAGACAAATCCTCATCCATACAAAGGAACAAAACAAAACAAATTTTCTGCAATACAGTCAGTTCTCAACCTTCAAGTAATATACATATACTAGCCAAGGGTCCTGGACCTGTTTCTAATGTCCAAGGCTTGAGAACTGCTACAATGAGATTGAATGAAAATGAAAAGAAGCCACCAGAGCAGCGCACTCACCAATGAGGCCTCGTATGCAGGGACAGGCAAGCCTGCTTGCAGCACCTGCGGCCTGCTCTGAGGGCTGGGTGTGGGCACCACAATGCACCCACCAATCGTCACCTCCACCTTCGGAGGCTCCATGAGTCCCTTTACGTGGCTGCTCAGATGGGCAGGCACACCGGATGGAATCTGAAGCCCACAGCAATTCCAAATTCGAGCAATTACTTACATTGCACACTCCACTATGAAACTGGTTGATCCTCTTACTCCAAAAGAGCATTTGCAATATATTAAAATACACAACAAATTCTACCAAGCAGTAATAACTGGCACAGACTTCTTTGAATTAGTTAGTTTCCTTAACTCTTTAGTTTGGGTTAGCTTTTTAGTTTTGCCCCACCCTCTTCTCAGCTGACATCTACTATCCGGGACTGAGATCTCCGACCGCGGGACGGAAGGGACCTAGGCCTCTTCCCAGAAACGGAGCGGTGGTGGGGAGGACACATCTCGGCCCGTCGACGTACTACTAGCCGCGCGAAAAACAATTTTTTTATTTTCACGAGCGGGACGTTTTTCTTGCTGATCATTATTTTTAGTATTTTAACTTAACTTATTCAGGAATCTGATGATGATCTGGAGGCTTCACTCTCTGATGAATCCACTGTCGGAGTCCCAAATTAATTATTTCGTCAATGACGTCCGATTACAATACTATCTTTTTCCCAATTAATCACTTTCTATTTTTCCAAGTGCTTGCAAAATCCTTGCCCAGTCCTTGCATGGTGACTCTTGTATTGCAGTTTCAATGTTTTCTTGCAACTTGGTAACTGACATATCACCTGTTACATTTCCGCTCCCTAAAATATCTGCTTTACTTTCGCTCAAGCAAAGTTCATCTCACACATGTAATTGGTTCATCTCCAACATGTAGGAGAGGAGTTCGTTACAACTGTATGTCCGTGTGCTGCTTAGCAACTCATCGATCTTTGTTACTGCTTAGCCCGTGCGTTTGAGAGGTGCAAGTAATCGGTACAAATCAGTCTTACGCAGAGTTTACTTCCACAATGCACTCCCTTTCTTTGAAGCTATACAATCATGTCAGCTTTTCTTGAGTATGCACGACGGCGTTTTGTTGACTTCCATACTGTGGTATGGAGCCATTGTCAAGATTTCCATTTCCCAAAATTAATGCCATTCATTTGGCTGTGGCAGTCTCCCACAGTACTACTAGCCTCGAAAGATTAGACAAGTGCCGCAAAGAAATCCATTTCTTCCCCACCTGCATGAACAATTATTAGTCACTTGTTTGCATTTCCATCACTTTGAACACCACAAACGTTATCACACGGCCAGCACTTTTGAAATTTAAGGGTTTATCAACCCATGTCTCATCCACATAGATGATATCTCAGTTCTCTTCTAGAAATTGTTTCCATTGAACAATGAATCTGGATCTCCAATTCCACTATGTCCGGTCTCTCTATCAGCCACGCCGCTTTGATTGGCACCCTTTTCCATTTAAAACCCATTGATTTCATAACACGCATAAAGATATTAGGCCCCAAGGAAATTTAATTTTGCCCCTTAATAATTGGAAGAAGCTTTAGCACCGCGGCACTACCTTTTTCTCATGTAGAAATCCAGAATCGTATTTCTAATGACACACCGTCAAAAACTATCTCATGGACAGAATTGCACACGTGCCCAGAAGACTCTCAGCTTCCATTTGGGCTATTCTCATTCCTCTTTTTATTTTCTTTCCGAATGGCTTTGATGGTGGTGAGTCGAATTCCTGTGTATTCGGAGCTCTTTTCACTCGCTTTCATTAAAGGTAAATTTAAAAATGTATCTTCTTTCTCCTTTATCACATATTTCAATCACACGGGCAATTGATTTCGCGACTCGTGTGTATAGTAGTATTAGTAACTCTCTTTGCCATGATGAGAAACTAATGGTTTTCACAAGTTGACACTCGGGTCCGCCAAGCGAACTAGCCGCTCCGATGTTCTTGGAACGGTTGCGATTATGTCACGTGACATTGTGGGTGCAGCGAAAGCTATCACCTCCTACCCTGCCGCTCACCCCGCGCGGAAACTAGGACCCCTCTCCGGCGGTCGGTAAACTGGGACATTTTTGGAAAACTAGGGACATTTTTTTCACATTTTTTAAATTTTTTCATCTATTAATAGTACAATTGAAATATGACTTTAAGAATATTATGCAAGAGTAAATACTGGCCATATATGCAAATTTTCATTGAAAAATTTTCGACTGTCCTCGAGAAAATGTAGTTTGAGAGTTCCTGAAAAGGTGCACTTTTAGGTTCATTTGCACAGAAACTTTTGAGTTTTGAGAAACTTCATAAGAAATCATTTGAAGTATTTGTACTCACAAATGCAACAGAGACTTCATGTAATAAGAGACAAAAATGTAACATATGACTTATTATTTGCATGGGAATCTGTTAAGGTGCTGCTTGGAATGGTACTATTTACATATCTGTACAATAATAGTTTACTATGAAAAAAACAACAAAAAAACATAAAAATATCTTGAAACAATATTTAATTAATGAAACTCATCTCGTAACACAGAAAATAATATAAAAATTAGTATGGTAAAAAAGGAAAGTTCATAGCTCTTGTGTATATATCATCAAACTGAAATGATGTTATCACTTTGAGACGCTTGCAACATTCAACTTTTTTTTTTTCTTCTTCTCACAAATGTTAACATTTTTGTTATTAAACTTTGATGTGTGAACAAAATGATGAATTTTTGATAAATTAATCTATTAAAACCGAATTAAAAAATGCTATTTTTCACTTTCTTTTAAAGCTTCCTTTCTGAACTTTCAGACTGATAGGAAACAATGGCAAACTTATACATGGTAAAAGATAAAAAAAGTGAAATAAATACTATTGAGACACTACACCTCAAGGTGTGTCATTATAGGTCTTTCATTGTTTCTCAATCAAAATTTATAGAGATATCAAGCTGTATCACTTTAGCTCATTCAATTATCAGATGGCTATACCGATACATTGATTAGGTGGGACAGAACCATTCAGTGGGGCTAATTTGATACATCCTTTCGACTATTTTTAAGAGTTGTGGTAGGTCATAAGTTATTTTTTACTTCGCACAGGTCTTTAGAACCAAAAGGTACATATTTAGTATTTTTTCCATGTGTTTGCTACAAACAGTATAGAAGATAAGGTGAAAAGTTTCTGATTTGTATCATAATAGATTTTATATGAAAAAAAAAAAAAGGAATAATTTTAGAAGTTGAAAGAGTATATGACAGTGGTGTTTATGCCCTCTGATGCAGTGCATTAGCACATTTTCTACTAAAAGTTTGAAGAAAAAATTGAGAACTGTTTTTAAGAAAATCTTGTTCTTAATTTTTTTTTATTGCTGATATTTCACTAAAAATTACTACCTATATATCAAAAAATATGTGCACAATGTTCATTAAAGAAATAAATGTGGAGAACGAATTTCATTTGAAAAAATATCTATCTTTAATAACGTGGTTGTAAGAAAGAGGTCCAAAAAATTTAATACTTGGCAATTGTCGAAACATCAAGGCTAACGATAGAAACGGGAACTTTACTGTTGTTACAGGTTACATTTTCCTCTACTCTTACAAGAAATTAAAAGAAAAATGTCTGAACTATTTTTGGGAAAAAATTGAAATGATGGAGGAGTTGCACGTGAAGTCCCAGTGTAGGCGAAAGAGCTCTTCGTGTGGTAGCAGCTAAACTCACCGCAGCAGAGGGTTTGGGTGCGCCGGCGCGGGCGCTGCTGGCGCCGGTGACGACGGGCGGCTGGCTGGCGAGGTGCGGCGGCTTGAGCGGAGGGCTGGCCACGGCGCCGGTCAGGATGGGCTTGCCGGCCAGGGGCTGGTGGTGGGCCTTGGGCGGCTGCGGCAGCGGCAGCGCCAGCGGCAGCGGCGGGCTGGCGGCCTGCGCGGGGCCCTGGTGGGCGGCGGGGGGCAACCCCTTGGCGCCCAGCTGCACCTGTACTGCCGCCTTGGTCGCCGCCTGCAGCAGGTGCGCCTTGGGGTTGAGGGGCGTCTGCGCTGCCGCCTTCATGTTCACCACGCTCTGCTGGTGCGGCGGCATCACGTGGTGCACTTTGGTAACGGACACCGATGGAAGCTGGTGCGCGGCGGCCGGTACGTTCACCTTCGACACCGCTTGCAGAATATGCGCTTTCGGCGTCATAGGCACAGCACTCGACACGCTCTTCGCCACCGACAGTGTCAGAGGTGGCTGTGGTGGCGACTGATGTTGCTGCAAAGGTGTTTGGATGACTTCTCGAGGCTTCGTCGCCACGACACTCGAGCCCAAAGTGGGCGCGGCGGTGGACTTGATGACCGGGGACTTGAGTGCGGCGCCGGGAGGCGGGGGTGGGTGCAGCAGCGTGGGGCTGGCCTTAGCAGCCTGCGTCAGTACGTGCGCCTTCAGGGTAGTCATGGGGCGCGCGGGGCCCGCGGGAGTCTTGACGGGCCCGCTCCGCGCTCCTTGCGCCGCTACAGCGAGCACCGACGGCGCGGCGATGACTGGCACGTGGCTCTGCTGCGCAGGCCACGGCGGCGCGGAAAGGCCGGCCGAGCCCGCCTCCGGGTGCGGGTGTGGGTGCAGCGCCGGCGCCGCTGCCGCCAAAGGCTGAATAGCCGGCGAAGGCGGCTGCGGCAAAGGAACCTGCATGCAGGAACAGCGAGTTACGTAAAAAAACAAGCGATATGCAAGCTTTTTTATAGGTACCTGACTAGAATTGCTAGTAATATTTGTTGAACGAGACATAAATAGGTAACTCAGAATATCAAATGACAATAGCAGAAAAGTGTAAATGAAGCGTAATGTACTCATAACGCTATCTATCTCTGTATCTGTCTATCTATCTCTGTATCTGTCTATCTATCTCTGTATCTGTCTATCT